TCAAAGGCTGGTTGACCGGGTGGAGTCAAAGCACTAAATCGCTGCCTTGTCAAGTTTTCTGGGCTTTGCGAGTCAAGACTTGCTTAAACGCATTGGTGCTAGTCACTAGTCCAGGTGTGTCGATCAAGACGATCTGGGCGTCTTGAGCGTTATAAATGGCCCTGATTACGTCGCGGGTTGTTTGGGGCAGCGGCGTGCTAATCGCCACCTGGTAATTCAGCAGTCGGTTGACAAGCGCCGACTTGCCGCTGTTAGGCAGACCCGCCAGCGCGACTAGACCAACTTTTTTTGCTGCTGCCATTTTGAGAGCTCGATCCGTTGTTTGATTAGCGCCCAGCAACTGGCTAGTCGAGCCATGCTTAGCGCGCTAATTGTTTGGATTCGTTTAGCCAAAAACCTCCATGAAACGCGGAATGTAAACCGTTAAAATGACAGCGAAAGAGGCCAGGGAAGTTAAGAGCGTGGCCGCCGAAGCGATGTCCTTAATTTTTTTAACTTTGACGTTGTACTGGAAGGAAATCGTGTCCACGGTCGCTTCCAGAGCGGTGTTAATGATTTCGATCACGATCGAAAGAAAAAGCGTCAAAATTATCAAACCCCAGGCGACGGGTGAAAGCCCGATTCAAATCCCGACTCCGATGACCGCGATTGCGATAACCAAAAGCGTAACGAGCGATTTTTCCTCCCGGAAAGAAACCCAGAGACCAACCAGCGAATAGAGCGTTTTGCGGTGGATTTTGCGAATAAATTCGAGCATTTCTATGACCTAGTTAACCCAATTGTACCGATAATTTCCTCGGTTAGTTTGTGCATGCGCTTTTCTTGAGCCCGACTTTGGTGGTCGAGCCCGCAAAGGTGGAGCAGCCCGTGGGTAAAGATGTAACCCCACTCGCGTTTGAGCGCGTGCCCGTAATTTCTCGCTTGACGGGCGATTTGGGCGCGGTTGAGATAGATGTCACCGAGCACGATCTCGGGCAAAGTAAGACCGCTTTTTTCAATTTCACTTGGGAAAGCGAGCACGTCACTAACTTGGTCTTTTTGGCGGTAAGTTTGGTTTAAAGTTCGGCTCTGCTCGTCACCAATGATGACGGCGCTAACTTGGGCCGCTTGACCCTTTAAAACCCGCTGACCGACTTGCTGGGCGATTTTCTTGAGCAGTTGACGGCGTCAAAAAGGTCGGCCACTTTGGTTGACGATCGTGAGATTAATCATCTAGACATTATACTAACCACTCCCAGAGTCGACCAGTCGCTCAAACTAAGTTTAAATCCAACGTTTCGTAAGGCACTAACACCGGCAGTCCGTCAATTTGCGCGTGGTAAAGAGATCGCTCCTGGTCAAAACCGACGGGACCAATTGTGGGGTGGTAAGTTTTCTGATCCAAAACCACCTTGATACTTTGGGCTCTCGCCAACAGACGAATTTGGCTGGGGCCGATCCAAATCTCTTGCTTAGGTCAGTTAATTATGACCCTTACCAAAGCGGTTTTTTCAACCGGTAAAAACAAGGTTAACGCTCCGCTTGCCAGCGCCAGCGTGGTCAGCCCGAGCACGATGTGATTGAAAAATTTACCGACCAGTGGCGATTTTTTCAAACTCAACCTCCGGTCCCGGCATGAGGTAATTTTGCGAGCGCGAAACTTCGACCCAGCGCGCGTTTTGAACTTGTTTCAGCCGGTCGGAGAGTCACTTTGTTCACTTGCGGTCGATGTTTTCGAGCGCTTCGTCGAGCAGAATTAAGTCAAAGGACCAGGCAAAAAGCGGCAAAAGCGCTAGCAACTGGCGCTGGCCGGTCGAAAGGTTTTGACCAAAGTCGCTAATTCTTTGGTTTCAAGTCAAACCAAACTCGGTCAGAATTTGGTCCAGTTGGTAAGCCGCGCGGTTTTGACTGAGTCTTAAACTGGCCGCTCGCGAAGCGCAAGTCAGCACTTCCCACAGCGAGGCGCTCGGCAGCGCCTTGGACGAATTAACTAAATAAACCTTTTGGCGGTAGTCGGCTAGGCGGTAGTTGTCTAACTCAGTTCCGTTCACTAAAATCGGACGGTCGCCCTGACATTGTCCGGCTAAAACGCGCAGTCAAGTACTTTTACCGACGCCGTTTTTTCCGACTAAGTGGAGGTTAGAACGTAGCTCAAAATGGCGGATTTTTCAAAGCGGTCTTTCGTAACGGAAAGTTAAGTTATCGCAAACGATTTGGTTAATGCTAGTTAGTGCGAGCGGCGCCGCCGGATTTTTCTCGGCCGGAAGTTTAAAAATCGTTTCAACCAGTTGGCGCTGGACTTGGAAAGTGACCCGGTTTTGAATCGCACTGACGAGGCGCTGAATCGGATCCAGCAAGTTATGGGCGATTGCTAAACCAAACAGCGCTTGACCAAGACTAATTTGGTTTTTAAGCGCTAAAAAAAGCGCCACCAGCGTGATTCCGATTTGACCAAGCCGCCGAATTAACTCGTGCCAGAGTCAAAAAACTCTTTGGTATGGCCAACCATTTCGCTGGGCTTTTTGCACCCGCTCTAAACCGCGCCCAATCCGACGGTGAACATAGCGCTGGTAGGGCGGAAATTTGAGTCGATCTTTGCTCAAAACCGCCCCAACTAGTTCGGCCAGATAATCGCTTTGTTTGGCGATCAAAGCGGTTAGAAAAGGCCGCCTTGTTTGGCCGGCAAAAACGCTCAAAAAACTGCCCAGACTGGCGATTAATAGCGCACTAGTTAAAATTTGTCAGCCGGTCAAACTTAACAGACTAACGGTTAAGAAAATTAAGCCGATTGCGCCAAAAAAGTCGCGCCATCAATCGACAAGAGCGGGGCATATTTGGCCGAGCAAACCCACCCGACGGAGGTGTTCGCTGACCGAAAGTTGGTCCAGCGCTTTCTGATCGCGACTGAAAAAACTTTGCCAGTAGAGGTGGCAAAGACGGTATTCCGCGTCTAAGATCATTTGGCGCGTTAAACTCGTCTCAAGCGTTTGAAAAAACACGCCCAGCAGGGCCAGCCAGGCAAAAAGAGCACCGAGCGCGATTAAGAGTCGCGTGAGCTGACTGGGAATCACTAAGTCAACCGCTAGTTTAACTAAAAAACTGCCGAGCAAGCTAACGATCATTTCCAGCGCGCCAAGCGCAAACACGAGCACCCAAGCGCGCACCGAACCGCCGATTAGCTTGGTTAAATTCAGCGCCCGTGGCGACTTTCAATGAACCGGCAGTTTTTCAACGCTAAAAACGATTCCAAGGTAAACTTTCGCAAAGTGGTCAAGCGTGTAAGTTAGTTTCCCGCGCCGGGGATCGTGGCTAACTAGACGGCCTTTTTGTCAGCCGAGCACCACGTAGTGGGGCTGATCGGGCGAACCAATCAGGGCGATCCACCATTTTTGACTGCGACCAACTGCTTTTAGTTGCGCTAAACTAAGGCGGTAACCAGTCAAAACCAGCCCAACCTTTTGCGCTAGTTTAACTAAGTTATGACCAGTTAAACCGCGCGGGCCAAAGGTGGCCTGAGCGCGCAAGTAGTTTAAATCTAACCAGCGACGGTAAAAATGACGGTGCAAAGCTTGAATTACGCTGAGACCGCAGTCCAAAGAGTCTAGTTGGGGGCGAATTCGCATCTAACTAAACTTGGTTAAAAAAACCTAATTGTTGAGAATTGAAGTGATGTTTTCGATTAAGTCAACGTGACGACTAGCTTTGTCGTAAAGACCTTCTTTTTGGATTTCAAACCAAGTTCAGTGTTTTTTAATTAACTCAATTTTTTCGTAAGCGGTTTTAGCGCGCTTTTTGTAATTCATAAAACCAAGTAGACCCGAAAGAGTGGCTGCTAAAGCCGAAGCGCAAGCCATGGTCAAAAACAGGTAGCGGATTAGCATGTCAAATTTAAGTCGCGAAACATCCAGTTTCAAAGCCCAGAGGTTGAGAACTGTCGTGGAGGCTAACATCAGAAAAATCGCCATGTTGATGAAAACTAGAATGGCGTTGGAACGTCGGTACTTGCGAACTAAGATCTTGTACTTTTCAAGCGGACTAGCGTTGTTCACTGTTAAGCACCTCCGTCTTAGCTGTTTCGTTACCAAGAATCGCTTCCACCGCTACGAACAAGTTGTACTCACGATCCTTGAGACGGTACTTAGGAACCAGTTGTGATTCAAACTTATTAATTTCCACCCAGACGCGGTTAAGGGCGTTTTGGTCGCGCTTGAGCGACTCGCGAATGTGGAAGAAATTAAACAGCGAAGTCACCAAAGTGGTAAAAGCGCCGATTCCGGCCGTTACGTAAGGATACCAATCGGGCACTTTTGTCAGTCCAAAAAGTTTGGAGGCAAAGACGATCGAAAAAATTGAGGTCGCTAATCCCAGCAGAAGGATGATCACGTTAATTGACACGTAAGCACGCTCCAGACCAACCACGCGGTGCTTGAGAAAATCAACGATTTTATGCCCGTAATCTTCGATGTTAAACGTTTCTCGCATTACTTGCCTCCGACGATCGTACCAAAGAAAGCGTTCCGGAATTTGACCTTGGTGCGCTTGTAATTTCGAATGTTGGTTTCAATGTTTTGGACCGCGGCTTCCAACAGTTGACGAGCGTCTTTACGACCGTAGTCGCCGACGCGATTTTCAAACTTGACAATTTCAATTTTAAGACTGTCAATCGACGCTTTGTAAATCGCGTCTTTCATGCGGGACCGGTAAATGGTGTTAACGATTTGCATCACGAAAGTCAGTAGGATAAACGTTAGCGTAACCATCGTAAATATAAACGGTAAAAAGTTGGCCGCGTTTTTTTGAACTTCCTTAAATTGAGTTACCAGGAAGTAGAGCGCGGTGCCGGCCGAACCGAGCGTGGCGATGTTAGCGGTAAAAAGGACGCAGGTGAGAATTTTGTTTCTCAGTCTGCAGCGACGTGCTTCCAACTTAAGGGCACCAATGCGGTCATAAACCCATTTCTTGGTGTTGAACTCCCGTTTCATAACGCAATTATACCAAAGTTAAAAACGTCAACTCTTACCTTACTCGCGTTGGGAAGCAAACAAATCAAATTCGTTGTCAACCCCTTCCGAGTAATCAAACTCGGCTAAATCAGGCAACTCCTGGAGAGAATTAATTTGGAAGTAAGTGTAAAACTTCTCGGTAATTCCGTACAAGATCGGGTTGCCCGGTTTAGGGCTAATTCCCTGCTCCTCAATCAACCCCTTAGTCAGCAAAGTGTTAACGACGGCTTCGGAAGCAATTCCGCGAATTTCGTTAATTTGGCTGCGGGTAACTGGTTGGCGGTAAGCGATGATACCGACTGTTTCAAGCGCGGCCTGGGACAGTTTTTGCTTTTTTTCGTGGGTAACTAGTTGACTAATTTTTTCAAAGTGCTCAGGGCGCGTGACTAACCGGTAAACATCGTTAAAACTTTGGACCTCAATTCCCAAGTTGAGAGCGTTAAACCAGTCGCAGAAAGACTGGCAAACTTTGCGCGCCTGGGCGATCGGCAGATCGTAGACTTGTTTAACCTGTTCGGCTGTCACGCCTTTTTCACCAGCTAGGTAAATTAAGGCGCTCAGCAGCGGATAGTTTTGTTCGTTAGTCATTTTGTCCTCCTTTAGTTAGGCTGATCGGTGCGTAAGGCTCGGCTTGAGCCAGACTGACTTCTTGCTTACGAGCTAAGTCCAAGATGGTTAAAAAAGTTTGGGCGAAGTGGAGCAGAGAAGGCAATTTAAAAATCTCGGTAAAACTGAGCGTTTTTTGCTTGGCCAGCAAAGTTTGAATTCGTTTTTGGGCCGCTTGGGCCGATCAGTTAAACTTGCTAATCGTAGTTTTACGTAAGTTGTGGGCGTAAAGACGAGCGTACATTTGCCTCACGGTCCGAATTAGTCAAATCACGTTGCCTTGACCATCAAGTCGAGTCGGATCAACTGGTTTAATAAACTCGCTCATGTCGCTGGTTTTTTTAGTTAACACCTTAAGTCCGATCCCTTCCCGTTCCTTTAAAAAGGTCGCCAAATTTTTAAAGCTCTGGTAAATTGAAAGCCGAGTTAGCAAACTTTGGGTCTGCTTGGCAACTTTTTTGTTCTCAGACGGTTCTTTGAGAAGTAGGCGAGCTTTTAAATTGATGAGCGAGGCGGCCATCACCAAGTATTCGCTAACCAGATCAACGTTTTCATTGACCAGACTTTCGATGATTTTGACGTATTCGTTGACCACGTCGACTAAGTTAACTTCAAAAATGTCCAGTTTTTTATCTTTGATTAAAGCGAGCAAAAGATCAAAAGGACCTTGGAAGTTGTCGATTTGAATTATGCCTTGCTGGTACTGGTTTTCCATTAAGCTAACCGCCGTTCCTGCGAATTTTTACGCGGTACGACCGTCGGTGGTTTTCAGTTTCGTTTCACGATGTTTTCGATTCTCTCAGCCAAAGTTTTGGCGTCTTGGTTAATAAAACTAACCGGTTTAATCGGTTTGTCAAAAACTACTTCCACTGTCAATGTGCCTTTGCGGGTTAAGTCGCCGATTCCCCAACTGTTATTAATGGTCACGGGCACGATCGGTAAGTAGTGTTTTTTGGCCAAGCTAAAAGCGCCCGAACGGAAAGTCGAGATCAGTCCGTCCTTGGTGCGCGTTCCCTCGGGGAAAATAACGGCTAACTTTTTGTTCTTCTTAGCGTAGTCGATGAATTCGCCGAAAACTTTGATCGCTTCGCGCGGTTTCTCGCGGTCAATGTAAAAAGTGTGCAAAATGTCTAAATAGCCCCGGAAACGGTTTTTTTTGAGTTCCTTCTTGGCAATGTAAACCGATTGAATGTTGGGCTCTTGCTTGTCCTCGCCCGGGTAGGCAAGCGCGATCAGCATAATCGATGAATCAAGAAACGAACTGTGGTTAGGGGTTAAAAGCGCCACGCCACGCGGTAAGTTTTCGCGACCTCTAACCACCACTTTAACGTTCAAGAGTTTGGCGTACTGCCGGGCTCTTTTTAAGACAAAGTCGTTTTTTCACTGCTCGCTGTAACGCGATTCATCTTTCCACTTTTTAATTTTGCGAGCGATCACTTTGGCGCGGTGGTTACGCCAAGCAAAGATGGGGAACATGCAGAAGATTTTAAACTTAATCGGCACGGTCAAATTCCTTCACGACAATCGCCACGCACTGGTCGCCCTCACGGGAAGTGCTGACCACAAAACCGGGCACTTTAAAAACGCGTCCGACGCGGTCAATTTTGACGCGATTAAAGTGGTAATACTGGTTGTCGGCTTTGTAAAGCGCTTCTTTGATCGCCCAGCGCTCGGCTAAGAAAAAACTCTTGACCGCACTCTTTTCGTAAGCAACAATTTCCTGGGGGTGAAGAACTCGGCGCACCAACGCCGAAGTGGCGTTTTCAAAGCGACTAATGGTAGTTAAATCGATGCCAACCATACTAGCAATTATAGCCACTATCGCCAGCTTGTTGCGAGTATAATGTGGACATGAAACAAAGCGAGCGCGGTCAAATTGTGATCGGCAGCGACGAAACTGGCGCCGGTGATTACTTTACGCCGCTAGTTGTCGCGGCCGTCTTTGTGCCGCCGACTAACTGGGATTACTTTCGGAGTCTTGGCGTGCGCGACTCCAAGGAGCTAAGCGATCGCCAAGTGTTACAAATTTTTGAACTGATCAAAAAACGAATCAAGTCGAGCGTGCGCTACCTTAACCAGAGCGAGTACAACCATCTCAGCAAAAAGTACAACGCCAACGAGTTAAAAACGTTGCTCCACTTCCAAGCTCTCTTAGCTTTAGCCGACCGATTGGAAGGCGTTGACCTAGCGATTGTCGACGATTTTGCTAAGACAAACGGCGGCGTTAGCAGCTACGTTCGCATCCAACGTTACTTTGAAAAACTAGCCCACCACCGTGATTTTGGGCTTTTTTGACCAGATTGACCGGTTCGGTTTGTCACGCAAGCTGAAAACCGTTACATTTGCGTGGCCGCGGCCTCAATCGTGGCTCGGGCCAAGCTGATCAAGTTGATGGAAAGTCAAAGTCGCTACTACGGCCAAAAATTTCCGCTTGGTTCGAGCAACCCGAAAATCGTGCAAGTCGGTCAGCAGTTAGTGCTTAGACACGGCGCGAATGTGCTTTGAAAAGTGGCTAAGTACTCTTTCAAAACCACCCTTCAAATTCTCAAACTAGTCGCTAAGCACTCTGGTTCAGCTGGTTATGAAAATTAACGTCGTTCTTTACCAACCCGAAATCCCCAACAACACGGGCAACATCGTCCGGATTTGCAAAGCGACCGGTGCTAAACTGCACCTGATTGGTCCGCTTGGTTTTGACATTCATCCGCGGCTACTTAAACGCGCCGCCGCTGGTCGGAGAATCAGCGACATTGAACACGAAATTCACGTTGATTACGAGACTTTTCGCCTTAAGTACGGCGGGCGTCAAATCGTTTACCTAACGCGCTACGGACTAACTAACTACGCCAATTACGATTTTTCACTTCACCAAGGTGAAGTGTGACTGATGTTTGGGCGTGAGTCAATTGGACTACCAAAAAGTATCCTCCAAAGCGCACCCCAGCGCTGCCTGAGAATTCCGATGCAACCCGCTAGCCGCTCGCTGAACCTAGCTAATTCAGTCGTGCTGTTAACTTACGAAGTTCACCGTCAAACCGGCTTTGAAAACCTACTCGTCTACGAAGATCAAAAAGGAGCCGATTGACTGCTCAAGTAGATTTTGAGCCCGGCTCTTTCCAGTATAATAACGCTATGTTTAAGGCCGATCCTGCCCTCAACCACAGCGCCGCTCATCTTTTAGCCGCCAGCGTTTGTCAACTTTTTCCCGGCGTCAAACTCGGTTTTGGACCGGCCATCAAAGAAGGATTTTACTACGACTTTCTCTTTCCCGCTCCGATCACCCCGCTTGATCTAGCTCGGATCGAAAAACGGATGCACCGCTTAGCCAAGCAAAACTACCGTTACCAGTTGGTGGATCCGATCAATTTAGCGGGCCAGCCCTTTAAAAATGAACAGCTAAACGAACTGATCTTGACCAACCAAACGATCACTTACTACGGCATGGTTGATCCGCAGAGTAAAGCGAGCGTTTTCAGCGATCTTTGCAAAGGAAACCACGTGGCGAGTTCGAGTCAAATCGCCCATTTCAAACTGCTTTCACTCGCGGGTGCTTACTGACGGGGTGACTCTTCGCGTCCCCAACTAACGCGCATCTACGGAACGGCCTGGCCAACCAAGGAAAAACTGAGCGAGTACTTAGCGCTGGTGGCAGAACGTCAGGAGCGCGACCACCGTAAAATCGGACGTGAATTAGAAATTTTTACTTTTGATCCGCAAGTCGGTCAAGGTTTGCCGATTTGATTACCCCACGGGATGGCGGTTAAAAATGCGCTCCAAAGTTACTTTCGACAAGTTGAAAAAAGTTTTGGTTTTCAAGAGGTATCAACCCCCAGCCTTGGTCAAGATTCGCTTTACCAAACTTCGGGCCACCTCGCCCACTACCAGCAGGACATGTTTCCGCTTTTAGCAGTTGACCACGAAAGATTTGTTTTACGTCCGATGGCTTGCCCGCACCACGTTTTAATTTACCAACTTAAACTTCGTTCTTACCGCGATTTACCGCTCCGTCTCAGCGAACACGCCCAGCTTTACCGCTACGAAAAATCGGGTGCTTTAACCGGTTTAGAAAGAGTGAGGTCGATGGAGTTAACTGACGCGCACATCTTTGCCAGGCCCGACCAAATCCTAGCCGAGTTTGAAAACGCTTACCGCATGATTGAAAAAGTGCTCGCTCGCCTGGCGATCAAAATTGCCTACGTGTCGCTCTCGCTCCACGATCCGGGCGACCAGCTCAAGTACTACCCCGACCAAGCGATGTGAAAAAAGGCCGAGTCCGAACTCGCCAAAGCGCTTGACAAACTGAAAGTTCCCTACCAGAAAAAAATCGGTGAAGCGGCCTTTTACGGACCAAAAGTTGATATTCAAGTTGAAAGCGCGCTCGGTCACGAAATCACCCTTTCAACTTTGCAACTCGACTTTCTTTTGCCGGAAAAATTTGGTTTGTTTTTTATCGACTCGGCGGGTAAAAAACAAAAACCGGTCATTATCCACCGCGGTTTAGTCGGTACTTACGAACGTTTGATTGCGATTTTGCTCGAACAGACCAAAGGCAACTTACCTTTTTGATTAGCGCCGCGTCAAGTTAGCGTTATCCCAGTTGATCCCCAAAAACACCTTGCTTACGCCGAAAAAATCACTCAGCGTCTAACCAATCTTGGATTCCGGGTCGAACTTGACGCGCGCGACGAAAGACTCACCAAGCGCATTCGCAGCGCCCAAATCGGCAAAAGTAAACTCCAAATTATCGTGGGTGACCAAGAAGTTAGCCGTCAAGACGTTAGTTGGCGGTTCCACGGAAAAACGGCCACCACAACTAGTTCGCTCGAAGAATTGATTAAGCATTTACAGAGCGACGAGCAAGACTAATCGGCCACGATTTTAGTTCCACCGTGGCCAGCGATAATCTGAGCCGCATCGGTTAGGTTGCCGATGTAAGCCGGCCGACCGGTTTTTTCCACGAATTTAATCGCGGCTGTGATCTTGGGCAGCATTGAACCAGCGGCAAACTGGTTTTGGTCAACGTAAGTGCGCAGTTCTTTGAGAGAAACGGTCTTGAGATCTTTTTCATCTTTTTGCTGGTAGTTAATTTTGACCGCCGGCACGGCCGTTAAAATAACCAGTTGATCGGCTTTGATCAGCTCGGCCAACAAAGCCGCCGTTAAATCTTTGTCAATCACGGCCGCTTTACCAACTAAGCGACCTTTTTCGAGTGCGACCGGAATGCCGCCGCCACCACCAGCGATCACAACCGCTTTTTGGCTCATCAAAACTTTCACGCTCTCTTTTTCCACGATCGTCTGTGGCACGGGTGAAGCGACGACTCTTCTTCAACCGCGACCCGCGTCTTCTTTGACATCCCAGCCGCTACTTTGAGCCAATTTTTGAGCCTCAGTCTGACTCATAAAAGTTCCGATCGGTTTGCTCGGACTTTGAAAAGCTGGATCAGCTGGGTCAACCAAAGTTTGGGTAATCAGACTGACGACCGGCCGATTAATTTTAGCTCGGGCGAACTCGGTTTGAAGCGCGTTTTGAATGTGGTAACCGATGTAGCCTTGACTCATCGCTCCGCACTCGGCAAACGGCATTGGTTCGGGAATTTCCTTTTTTAAGTAAGCGGTTTGAAAGGCGTTGTTAATCATGCCAACTTGGGGGCCGTTGCCGTGACAAACTAAGACCGAGTGACCTTGAAGAGTTAAATCGCTAATCACCTTAGCTGTCAGAGCAACTTTTTGGCGCTGTTCGCTGGGCGTGTTACCAAGCGCGTTACCGCCGAGCGCAACGACTATTTTAGCCATTAGAAAACCATCCCTTGGCTCGCAATCGCTCCGAAAGTGATGATTAAAAGCAAGGCTAAAAGCGCGTAAGTTAAAACGACTGGTCAAATGTTGCGGATTCAAACCGGGTATGGCACGCCGCTGTAAGCCGTGTAGCCCATCAAGGCGGCGCTAGTTGGCGCGCACAAGTTGATCACTCCCGATGCAAAAATGAAAGCTAAGATCGTTAAAGCGAGCGCCGCGTTTTGGAGACTTTGATCGGTTCCTAGCGCGATGGCAGTTGCGAAAATGCCCATGAAAGCCGATGAAAATCCGCTCGTAGAGGGCACCAAAAACGAAAGAACTAACGAAATCAAAAAGACGCTGACACCTCAAATAATTAGGTTAGCTCCCGCTAGATTTGAAATTGAGCGGGCGATGATCGGCCCGAAGTTAGTTTTTTCGAGCATGATCCCTAACCCGGCCGCCACGCCAATTAAAAGACAAACACCGACAACATCTTTGACTCCGTTCATATAAGTCGCTAAAAAAGTTTCTTCCTTAGTTTGCTCGCTCTCGACAAAGTCGTTAAAACTAACCGCGAAAATTATCACGCTGATGATCAGAAAAATGCCGGCTACCGAAACAAAGTACCAACCGCCGAGTGGTTCCCAAGCCGAGTTGGCGTCAACCGAAGCTAGCCACCACATCCAAGCGTTTCACCAACCTTGGTCAGACTCTAGACTCGGGAAAAACGACTGCCAAGGCAAAAATCCTAAAATCATGATCACAAACCCAAACATAAAAAGTCCGAGCGCGATTTTACGTCGCAAAGTGAAAGTAATTTTTTCAGAACTAGCGAATTTGCGGGCGATCGTTTCCGTGTTTAAACCAGCCAGTTGACCGTTACGACGTTTTAAAACGCTGCCGAGGTAAATCACTAGTCCGATGGCACAAACTTCGTAAATAACCCACGCTAGCCAGCGCGTTCCTTGACCAACGCCTTGGGCAAAGTCTCCAAACGGCGCTTCACCTTCCACGTTGACTTTAACAATCGCGTCGATCGCAGTTGAAACCGCGAACGGGTTAATCGTCGAAGCTAAACAACCCGTTCCGGCACCGACTAAAACGACTAACACGGCCATAAAAGGGCCGTAACCAAGTTTGACGAAAATCGGGATCAAAACCGGGAAGAAAGCGATTGTTTCTTCCCACATACCGTAGGTAGTTCCGCCTAAACCAAAGATCAGCATTAAGACTATGATCAAGATTTTGTCTTTGCCCCGCAAGGCGTTGACAAGCGCTTGAATTCCGCCGTCGATTGCCTTTAACCTTGTCATCACTCCCAGCGTGCCGCCGATCGCAAAAATAAAGAGAATAATTTCCGCTTTGCTGGCAAAACCGTGCCAAGCAGCGGTAAAAATGTCCAAGATCCCCACGCCCTTAATTTCCTGGCTAAACGGCGCACCGATCCACGAGGCGATCACAAACACGATCATCATCGCGAAAATAATCGTAAAGGCGCTCGGAATGTAACGTTTACGAGTTTTTTTAGTTTCCATCGCTAAGCTCCGATTGTGGCCAGCATAATCGCTTTAATCGAATGCAGACGGTTTTCCGCTTGCTCAAAGACGTGCGAGTAAGTTGAGTTAAAAACTTCGTCGCTAACTTCAAAAGCCCCGTCTTTAACGCGCGGATACTTGCCACCGTATTTTTGGCCCATTTCTTGACTGACCTGGGTTTGATCGTTGTGAAAGGCCGGCAGGCAGTGGAGAAAAATCACGTCTCTCTTGGCGCGCTTAAGCATGGCCATGTCGACTTGGTAATCGTGAAGTAGTTGGAGACGACTGTCTCAGTCCGATTCGCCCATCGAAACTCAAACGTCGGTGTAAATCACATCCGCTCCGGCTGGACCCGATTTAATGTCGTCAGTCAAAGTGACCGAACCGAAAGTTTTAGCGGCGATGGTTTGACACTTTTTAACCAGCGCGGGATCGGGGAAAAGTTTTTTGGGCGCCAAGGCGGTGAAATGCATCCCGAGTTTGACGGCGCTAACCATCAAAGAGTTAGCCACGTTGTTGCGCGCATCGCCGACAAAAACAATTTTTAGTCCGCGTAGGTCTTGACCTTTTAACTCTTGAATGGTCATAAAATCGGCCACCATTTGGGTCGGGTGCCACTCATCAGTTAGTCCGTTTCAAACTGGCACGCCCGAGTAAGTCGCGAGCGTTTCCACGTCAGCCTGGGCGTAGCCACGAAATTGGATTCCGTCAAACATTTTGCCGAGCACCCGGGCGGTGTCGGCCGTTGATTCTTTCTTGCCAAACTGCGAACCTGAGGGACCTAGGTAAGTCACGCCCATACCCAAGTCGTGAGCGGCAACTTCAAAAGCGCAACGCGTTCTAGTTGAGTCTTTTTGAAAAAGCAAGACGATGTTTTTACCTTTTAAAACCGGGTTAAGCAGTCCGCTCTTTTTTTGCTTTTTAACCGTGTGCGATAGTTTGAGTAAGTCCTTGAATTCCTGGTCGGTTAAGTCAATGATTTTTAAAAAACTTTTGCCCCTTAAATTAGCCATTTTTTCCTTCTTTCGCCGCTCGTTTCTTCGGTTGGTCAATTAAATCGCGTCAAAGCGGCATTGACATGCAACGCGGACCACCGCGACCGCGCGAAAGTTCGCTTGACCTGACCCGAATCACCTTGACACCGGCTTTTTCCATCTCGGCGTTAGTGACCCAGTTGCGCGCGTAAGTTACCACTACGCCCGGCCTAATTGTCAGACAGTTGGCGCCGTCGTTTCACTGCTCGCGCTTGGCACGAACCGGATCACCGCCACCCACAATTACCAGTTTAATTTTGCGTTTGAGATACTTTTCCAGCAAGTTTTGAATTTTTGACTTAAAGATTTTAATTTTGATCGTCCCGCTTTGAGCCGGCGTTAACTCGTAAATTTGGTACTCAAGTTGAGCCATGTCAGCGTCAATTGAAAACTTGTCCTGATCCATTTGGGTCAAAACCGTGTCAAGGTGCATTGAAGCGCGTTCTTTGGGAATTGTCACGCCAATGATTTGCTCGGCCTGGTCAAAACGACCGAAAACTTTGCGGGCAAAACTTTCTAGACCGGCTCCGTTGGTCCGCTGACTGACGCCGACAAGCAAAGTCTGGGGACTGATGACTAAAATGTCTCCGCCCTCAATGTGTCCCGCGTCGGTCTTAGAATCAAACAAAAGGGGAACGTCGCGTCACTCGGGATGATACTGCTTGAGGTAGTAGTAAAAAATCGCTTCGCGGCGCCGTGTCTCAGCTCACATTTTGTTGATGTTAGCCGCCCCGTAAACGCAAGCTAAAGTGTCGCGTTGGAAAAGCAAGTTCGGGATCGGATCCACGTAAAAAGGGTAGGGATCGTTCTGTAAAAATTGCGCCGCTAAACTGGCGCTAAAATCGGTCTTAATTTCAGTTTTTTTCACGCCTGCTATCAGAGCTTGAACCAGCTCTAAGTTGGACTTAATTTTTAACCAGAACTGACTAATGGCTTTGACAAGCACCGGGTCACTGACCTGCGCTTGAGCCAAAAATTCGCTGACTAGTTGCCCGCGCAAGTTCTCATTTTTGTCAAGCACTTCGGCGACCAGTTTTTCCACGTAAAAAACTTCCACGCCCTCCTGGGTTAGTTTTTGGGTAAAGTCATCGTGCTCTTGCTGCGCGATTGGCAGGTCCATCACATCGTCAAACAGAAGGGGACCGAAAACTTCCGGATAAAGACGTTCAACTTCCTTGCCGGGTCGGTGCACTAAAACTTTGCGTAATCGGCCGATTTCGCTAAAAACTTGGATTTGGTTAGCCACAATTTGCTCACTTTCTAATCTAGGTTAGTTGACTTAATTTTACCTAAATTAGTTGGCTAACTCTAAAGACCGACTAAGATGGCCGTGATAAGGATGCCTAGGTAAACCGCGAAATTGAGTAGAATTGGCCAGTAGCTGATTTGACCAACTCTTTCCCGGTATTGAGCGAGAGTTTTGGCGCTGTACTTGGGACGGCTCTGCCGATCGGTCAGTTTGCGGCGGTAGTAATTTCAAACTCAAAGACTGGTCCGTTCTAAAAAACCCCAGCGTCAAACCATCACCAGTAGGCAAAGAGCGCTTAAAATTCCGCTCGCGATTACCAGTGCGTCTAGCAGGCGGTGGGGACTTTTTCTCACCAAGAAAGCAATTAGGAAAATTGTCACCCAGAGAATCCATCCGACTAGCGAGTAAGTTAGTCCGGCTAGCCTTAATTTAGCCATCTTTGCGGATCCGCTTGGCGCTGTTGGCCGGCTCGGTTTTAAAGGCGGCTCCCTGGTAAAGTTTGTGTTCTAAGTTACCGACTTTGATGCGGCGGGTTCAAAAGTTGTAGAAGGCTGGTCCGCGGACTTTGGTTGATTGAGCCGATTTTCGCGGCGTTTTTTTCGTTTCAACTTCAAAGGCGAACCGGCGGGCTTTTTCGATTTGAGCGATTTGTTTTTTGAAGTCAAGGGGCAAAACCACCGTGGTTGATTGGGAATGCTGGGGCGCCTTTTGATGGGAATTAACCAGTTTAGTGAGCGGTTTTTTGGCCGCTCGGCTCCATTTTTTGATTTGTTTTTCGCTCCCTAAAACGAGGTGGTTTTCGTCAACCTGTCAGTAGTGGGGAGAGTTAACCAGCGAGTATTCATCTAAGTATTGCAGACCGAAGTTACCCTCTTTAAACGGCTTGTTAGCATTTTCAATCGTGGGGATGGCTTGGAAAAGGTTTTTCGTGTAGGGATGAACGGGACGTTCAAAGACCGTCTCAGCCGCGCCGCTTTCAACCACTTTGCCCAGGTGAATAATCAAAAGCTCGTCGGCAATGTGTTCAACCATCGATAAGTCGTGGGCAATGAAAATAATCGCGATGTTATTTTTAGTCGCTAGATCGCGCAGCAAGTTGACAATTTGGGCTTGAATTGAGATGTCAAGCGAAGCAATGGGCTCGTCGGCAATGATCACCTTTGGACGGGTAATTAGCGCCCGAGCGATCGCAATTCT